AAGCACTATTACAGTCCGGACACTTAAGCTTATTACCTACAGTGGTGTATAGATATATGAAACGGTTAACATTGTTAGTTACATATTATGTTATGTTACATGTTATGTTAGTTACAAATAAAAGTGATGATCTCCTACTACATTATAACGGCTACATCCATCAAATTATTTAACATGTCTAATGTATAAAGGAAATAAATGGTATTATATTCTACTCTTCCTAAGATCAACTCAGAATGTTACGCCACTGCGAATGCCCCCAATAATACGAACTGAATTCATTACGCGTTTAATGCAATTGTTTTCGAGTTTCTCGTTAACCTCTCTGTGTGCCCTTATAGTGCATTGATTCCTGGTGTTTATGAATACTGTAAGTAGTGAAGAAATTGCACTTGAAAATTATAGTAAATAGATATAACGGCAATTTAGGTAAACACTAACACACTGACAGTAAACGTCAATACATACAGGGGCGTATCCAATACGACCGTTTGATTTGTTTCTGCTTTAATGTTCCAATAGCACTGTTTTTTAAGCAATAAGAACTCACTGGATATATAATAACCATTCAACATACGAATTTTATATTATTTTACAAGCAATTTGGGACTCTCCCAGGAATCAACACACCATCGAAGGAAAAATGAAGATTCTCACTAACCCAGTACCCGTCGACGAAATTAGCCACTCGCGCCAGCGAAACATCAGGAAGGAATTCCAAAAATCCTCTGCCTTCGAACCCGAAACATAGTGACACAACTATATCATACTTGAAGACTGATTGCCGATAGGTTGAATTCCGTTCTTGAACCAGCTCAAGATAATCGTCTTTTTCTGGTTTTATCTTATCTCGTTTGAGGTCCAAAGGTCTGCTTCCACAGAATCCAACCTTGCGGTTGTGGCACGTACCGGCTGCCGAATTATTTCTTTCTCCCAGATTGCAGGATCTAAATCAGTTCATTCATTATCATAATTTATTTTAAACACCTGTCATCAATTGCAGTACTCAGACTTTTTGTCATCGGTGGGCTTTGTCTTCTTTCTAAGATTTGACTGATGCCTTTTCGAAATGCGTAATTTATTTCTCTACAGACCGATTCACATTGTTCTAGGAGCATTCTGCTCTTCCGTCCTTTGTATATCGTGAAGCCTTGGTTATTAAAACAAATTCTTGGAAAATCCCGTATTTCTCTTCGACTCGCTCAAATTCTTGTATGAGCTATTGACTTTCTCTCTGTTAACGTTGCTTCTGCGAATAAGGTAAAATTTCACAACTACACTTTCCTTCTTTCGAAAGCAGAGAAGCAGTTTCTAGTGTAATTGATGCAGCTTTTAACGCACTTGATGCATGTCTGCTCTGGAGTTGGCTTTGACAGCCTTGCTTCAAGTATTGCTGTACGAATCCAGAGCTATCACTCCATCCTTTGATAATTATTCTGACTAATCTCTGGAAAGGTATGGATTTTGTCTGAAGGAGTTTTCAACTGTGAAGGTCTTGTCGTTACTGTTGAGAATTTCTTCAAACGAATGTACTCTGCCCAAACGGAAACGGTTGGCTGGCTATGTGGGTATATGCGAGTTCATCTTTTAGTTCTGTTTAAAATCTGTTTTTCCGTTAACCAGCTGTCGCACCCCTACGAACAACAACCCTCAGTAGTCGAAACTTGTGCGAGCTAAGGATTAACGAGGTCTTACCTTTTAACGTGTGATTCCTAACACGGTTAGTGCCCTTGTTCGTCCAGTGTCTTGTTCTCTTTTTCTATGACACGCTAGTTGTTTTTTTTTAACTCCTTTCACTCCGTCGCTTAAAATATTTACTTCATCTCAGACATCTTTACTTTTGGATTTCACTAGTTCGGACTTCCATTGTCTACTATATAAAATGATTTGAAATCCCTGAAACAAGTAAAAAAGAATAATTAAAAAAGAATAGTTGAAAATAACAATTATATTAAGCAACAATAAACCTGAAATGGAATGATAGTGAAATAACCAAAACATAAATGTTAATTTTATTATATTTGATATCTGGAGCCTAATATTTTTTACCCATATTGTTTTTAATTATCATAATTTTTCTATTTTGTTATTGTTCTGTAATTTACCCACACACAGGGTTTTACCCTCAGTAGAAGTATGTGTTTATTCATCAAGGTATATTATTGTACTCCATAAACTCCATATTATGTATTATAATTTACTGATGAATGAATTATTATTATTATTATAGAAACCGAGATAATCGCGAAAAACTAATTTTTGTTATCTTTTACCTTGATTATTACCGAAGTTTTATCCCAACACCAAATCGTTATTTTTAATACCTCGACACGTGTGTCGATCACCAAGTGATCATCTTCTAGAGGAAGATTAAACTTCCTTGGTGATTAAAACGTGTCGAGGTGTTGAAAATAACGGTTTGGTATTGGAATAAAACTCCAGTAATATACATTACTACACCAAGGGTTCCAAACAGTGCATCACAAGTACATTTTACCTTGATTAACTTCCAGTGCAGACACAAATTTTATGAGACCTTCGTGACAACTTTTAAAACACCAAAATGAAGGTGTTTACGAGTTTACAGCTTATTATCTCTCATTCCGAGGTTGAACTTTGTTTATTCGTCCCACTGAATTGTTCCCCACTAATTATTCGCGATGAATAAGCATTATTATTGGTAAAATTCACCAAGGATAAATCTCCGAAGCCCCATCACATCCGGGAGGACGCGCCAGCATCATTAACCAATAAGCCAAGAATCATTGGGTTCGAGAACCATAAGCAGAGCCAAGAATAACAGCCGGCTGCATTTGTCCGGCCAAGATTTCTGCCTTAGTGCGGCGATTCATCATGATCTTGAGATTCGAGAATTTAGAGGGCATCATTCGACCAAGGACTCCAATAATCAGAACGACCATCTTAATACAGTGGTCTGGATAGAGTATGTGGAGTTAAAAGAACACATCTCGATAGTTCATCCGCGTTGCCTTCTTTTTTCGTGGTGGAGTTTTATGAAGCTGAAAACTCCGAATATCGTCTTGCTCTGATAGTCAAGAACTGCATCAGACTTATAAGCTTGTATGAACCCGAGGGTGCGGAATAAATAGTTCCAATTTCAAGATCAATTCAAGATCCCCTAGAGAGTCCAGGGGATTCAATATCCCACGGAGCGTAGGGCAACACCGGTGTCTCGTCAATACCGTAGATGTGCCGCAGATGGTGTCAAAGCACTCTTAGGGCTGCGTTATGTCGATGAATATAGGCTGAGATCGCTTATGCTACATACTGACAGCAATGGTTCCAGGCGTCTTGGAGTAGACCATGCTCCTGGTGTCAAAAACCTCTGAATCCATCAGGCGACTATGGTACTAAGGTGTTGAAAGCACTATTCTGGCAGGATATGATAGCAGTTTATTATCTATTATTTTCATTAGCATACTTTATAGGAAATTCCTCAGGATCCAATACTTCATCATCGAAAAACAAATTCAATATATCCAAGGGATTTTTGCCCGCTAGATCTGATTCGATACGTTATTTATCACTTTTTTCAGTATTTGTGGGGCTATGAGTTCATTAAATTTCTACCTTAGTCCATAGGCTATGAGTTTATAAAATTTCTCCCGTAGTCGGTCGGTAGCCGAGTGGTTCGACGTGGGTGCCTCATTCACTCACTCGAATCGACCGCCGTGTTGGTCGCTGGTTCAAGCCTCAGGCTGAACGATCGATTTTCACTTGCTATCGTCCAACCTGTGTCAGGAATCACACGTTAAAATGTAAAAACTCGTTAGTCCTTAGCTCGCACAAGTTTCGTCTTCTGAGGGTTGTCGTTCGTAAGGGTGCGACAGCTGGTTAACGGAAAAACAGATTTTAAACAGGTTCATCATCTGATCGATTAGAATTCGAACAAATCAGTTCAGCTCGTTTCAAGGCGAGAGTTTCTTCATCTGATGAGTGATCTTGATTCTCATTTATTTCGTCAACATTAATATTGAGACTCAGATACATGTATTTCGTAAGTCCCAGTAATATCAATGCATTGCATACTACTTTCAGGTAGAGAAGATTCTTCGTCAATAGTCTTCATCAGTGAGTGATTCTGCCTCTGGAGGAACATACACATCGACTGAAAGATCTGAAATTGAATTGTTGTTGTAATGAACGAATGCGAATTTCGAATTTGAGAATAAACAGAATATGTGACAACACATGAAAATCAAAGTAAATAATTGTCACATACCTTTCTCCAACTCATCTACAACCTCCTTTAAAGCTGCCTCTAATTCATTCACAGTCAAATACTTTCTGAACGGCATTTTATTCACACACACACACACAGGAATTTTCCTCTTAGATTCGTCAATATCATATTTGTATCTACTAGTTCGTAAACGAATCACGTGATTTCTAGTACTTCTCTTCATTTCAATATCCGAAAAAAACTGTTCACATCAACATTTAACTCCTAAAACTATCCAGAATTGAATTTTGAGAAAGAAAAAATCAATTAAATATCAGTTGAACTTACATCATAGAAACACAGGCGGAATTGAAGACTCATTTTTGTTGTACAGTTAGGCTTGAATAACCATGTATAATTTATAGAATATAGATTGGATGATTGTTGATAGACGTACCATCGAAACTGAGCTTATTTTTCTCCCCTCGAAGCGGAAAAAAGTTTGTTTACACCGTGAATGCACCACTGGTTGGAAATGAGTTAACCAATGACCACTCCTCACACCCTGAGGTAAGTGATCATTGGGTCTGAGAATCATGTGGCCTAAGCAAGCGCCGTAAGCCAAGAATGACAGTCTTCTGCATTTATCCGGTCAAGAGTTCTGCCTTAGTGCGGCAAACCAGCCTGAGATTCGTGATTATTATTATTATTATTATTATGTATAAACACTGGAATCCGGTGTTCCAGATTTTAATTTCTTTCATCTAATCTTGAATTGTAGCTATTGATTCAATTTCAATTGTTATTATTTTTTCAGATGGCAAATAAAAATGTTAAGGGTACGGAGAAAGGTGTAGAGCTAACCAAAATAACGGTGAATGGTACTACGTCTGAGGCTAAAGCGACGAGCGCCGACGCCAAGACCACCACCACTTGCACTCCTGAGGTGTGTAGATCTGCGAGGCAGCGATACCAACCACCGGATTTAGCAAGTGACAGTCCTTGGAATCAAAAGAAGACTTACTTTTTCATCGCGACCATAATTGTTTTTGTGATTTGGATTATTATTTATTCGATAATCAGTGAACTCAAACTGGTGTGATATATATATTTGAATTTTATAGCTATATTTTATTTTTTTATTGAAGCTAATACAAAATAGTTGAAATGTTGAATGTTCACTTGTTTTCGCGAGAAATACAAAAATTGGGGGGATTAGGAAAAGATATGAACTTTTGGTCCAATAAGTAAAACCCTTTAAATTTAAAGGATATATTTTCAGGAAAGATTAATTTTTGGGAAAGAAAGGTTTTGGCTTTCTACTTCTACACCTTTCTCTGGAAGCTTCCCACATTTTTTTAATAAAAGATAGAAAAGTAAAAAGTCAAAACTTTCCTTCACCAAAAAGGACCACCGTCTTACATTAGGAATTTCTCCAAATCTCATAGGTCACTTCACGTACCAAATTTGAAGCAATTATACCTACTAATTTTTGACTTGACTTTTTTTAGTGCACGTTCAGCAGAACGCTAATTTCTCCTGTGTTCAAAATTATCAAAATACACAAATCGTTATCAAATCGGTTTCACCATACCCATTTCCTTTGATGTTTTTTCGGTAGACAGGCTGGTAGATACCTCAGGACCCGTTAAGTAACGTTTGGATTATTCCGATTTTTTTTCGTGGCTGGTAGCTTGAATTTTAAATTTGTTGAGACCTTAAATTGATATGCAAAATCGGATACACTTCTGCTTGGAAGACGGATGTGTTTTGTCCTAGCGACAGCCCCCTCCTCCCCAGTCCCAGCCTCAATCCCATGTTCGGTTTTTGACCCGTCTACTACCAAACATATTCACGGAATTATCCACTTTTCACAAAGCGCGAAGTTTGTATCAAACATGTATTTCGAAGGTACGTAGTCTGAGTACATGTTAAATATTCGTTCCTACACATATTTCGAAATTTCAGTTTTACCCGATCCATTGTAACTCAGTTAATTTTCCAGTCCGAATCAGCCAACTCTTGCCTCCTAACTATTACTAGTAGTAAAGTAAACAGCTTGAACAGTTCCCAAAAAACTGCACCCGTTATTCCCAAACAAGCAAGTATTTGTATCCTGCTCAGTCTGTTACTAGCGGTCTTTTCTTTCATATTTGGCCACCAAATCATATATGGGTTTACCCACCATGGAGTAGAGCCAATACATCATATCTGGTTTCAGCCCCCATGTTTTCTGTAAGTACGTCTCTCTTGATAGACGTATCTTTCCACCTCGAAGTATTAGAGGTCCTAGGCTCCCTCTGACTTGGTTCTTTTGGGGAATGCTGCTATAGTGGATTTCGTTGGATTCCGTTGGATTCATGCTCATCCTTTTTTCTTGATCCATCTTATAATATTCAGTGTCTTCTGCGTGCGTCACCACATTTTTGTATTTGACCTGGACTAGTCGTCTGCATAGCCAAAACGCTATTATCCGAAAGTCAAAGTAACTCAACCATTACAAAGTATTCAGTGAAGTCAAAACCATCTTCAGAAGACAACCCATTGTCACCTATGACACTACTATTTGTCTATCCCCCTCCAATTCGTGGTGTCAGTATATTTTCTTCATGGCGTCTGATTCAATAAATCTAGGGACTCATTATCAAAAGCAACTATTTTCTAATTGAAAGTAATATTTTTATTAATGTGAGAAATGTTTCAAAAATATTTACTCATATCACATGCACAATTATTCTAACCAACAGAAAAGGTACTGTTATTTGATTTCCTTTTTGAATTCAAGAACAATAAGTATATGGTACACTTTGATACACTTTATATCTAGGTATGAATGTTTTATTCTTTCAAAAATTGAGAATTGTATTCTGTTAGAAGCAGTCACCTTTGTGCATACTTTTTCCATAATTTCACGTTATAGTTTCCTGCAAATTATTATTTTACTTTCCACTTTTGATAATATGAAGTTTCCATTTTTCGTTTATCTTCATGTTTTTCATACTCATTCACCAATAAATTAATCAATCTGACATTATACTTGTTCAACAATAAACACTTCTCTGAATAAACGATTGGAATAAAAAAAGACATATTTTTGTGTCAAACGGCTACGAAATTACTGTTATGAAATGAAATAAAATTTTTCCTTTTCAAATATAAAACAAAAAAAAATGTTTCATCATCTTTTAATCACCAAACGAAATGTTGCATAAAACGAAGCCATCTGGTGGCGAAACGGAGTTCGCCGGGTTTGCTAGTATTCTATATATCAATATAGATTGATGCTCAAATAAAAAAGTACCTATTACTTTTTATTTGAGCAACCTTAATGGATGTTTTCCATCAAAAATTTTATCTCCGTATCTCTATTATACCAGTCAAGTAGTTTTTCGAAACTATTGAAAACATTTTTCCCTCACCAGAACAAAAATGCTGTCTCCCGACGCACATTTCGCCAATCAATCAGAAGATGTCTCGGTTATCGAAACTTCCTCTTAATATTACACAATGTTTTAATGTTGAATTTCCAGTCCTTTTTAAGCGTTATTGCATAATTGTCGTCAGGTCCTGTTGACCCATGGTTGACATGAGTTTACGCTTTATTTAATCTTGTCCAAATCTATCAATTTTTTTGCCACCTGAACACCACTTCAGTCACTTTTAGTTCTGAATTTGTTCATAATGCCGAAGTTACATTTGTAATTTCTGAACAGGGGAAATGCAATAGAAGAAGCTCATTTGAAGTGTCTCCTCCTGTTTTTTCGTACTCCCCGGTTCTGGTTTTCAAGTTATTACTTGAGACCTTGGATTCTTTTGAGAAAATATTATATAGTCTGGTACATATTTAGGTCTATTTAACGTCCTTGTATTGCCTCCTTCATTAGCCACCTTTTTCTTCATGTCTATGTTGAATTTACTCGTGATTTCTTTGCTGGAAAACTTTTCTCCCGGAGTATTAAGGAAAAAATCGAGAAGACATCACAGCTTCTCAGTTAGTTTTCCGGAAGTTTTAAAAGGATGTGATCGGGGTGTGAATCGATCCAGTTTCATAATTCATTCATTTGCCTCAACAACATGTAGTGAATGCTCACGTTTTTTGTGTTGCTGCTTCCCCAGGTAAGATGGTGTGCATTGGCATCACAGCCAATTATGAGCCGCGATCCATCTGCGCTACAGGTCCTTACTTACACTGATTGATGGTGGTTCCGGACTATCGTAAGGAAGGTAAATTAGCAGTTTTGATCCAACGCAAATTGTAACCTTTACACAGGCACTGCTCTCAGATCGTTTGAACGCAAAAATTTGGAGATATTTCGAAGTCATCTCGATATTTCTTTCCATACCTCTTACACACCACCATATAATTATGAAAATATAATTATTTTGAACGACATTCAAATTACAATTTCTGCGGTGCGGTGCATCAAAAATACAAATAATTATAACAAAAATAATTACAATAATAATAATGAACCGAGCGAAAAGCGAGCGAGAAGAATCGCGGAAAACTTAAAGTTCTTCGCAAAACCTTCTCGCTTATTCCAAGAGCCTCCACGGGTTGTGGATAATCCGCCGACCGCTAATTTGCTCAAATTCGTGTTATAAGTTGTTTACCAGCATCTTGTACACACGAATACTCACCGCAATTAATCGAGTGTTCGAACGGATAAATGAGCAGGCGGGGGGTCGAAGAAAGCAGTTGATGGATATAAAGGGAACCTGCGCATCGATAGATGTGTAACGCATGAATCAATACAGTATAAGCATAACCTCTCTAAGGTCTGGATCGATTACCGTAAGGCATTTGATACGATATAGCATGAGCTCATCCGGCATTTGCTCAGATGCCTTGCGGTACCCGACAAAATAGTGAGATGCCGTGAACAACTGATCAACTGATACCACTTTGGCAGACACAAGCTAGAGTCCAAACAGATCAGGTTACTTTTAGAAGTGTATTCCACGGGAATTCCTCTTCTCTTACGCATCTCACTATTGCCATTATCCGTTGCGCTCAGAAATATAACCAGGGTATAACTGTGAAACCTCTGGAAATCGCAGGCATAAGGACACCAATTTGTTTCGTGTGGATGACCTTAAACGTTGTGCTTTTGGAGAAAAGGATCTACATCAGTCCTTAAGGGTAATGGTAGAGTATACGCAAATGTGCAACAATCCATGTCAAAAAAAGACGATGCAGAGATTACGGAGAGGATGAACAGCTCGTAGATTGAAACATCCTGCACCATCTGAATACCAGAAAACCGTATACTTACTCCGGGGTGGAACAACGCCACTCACTAGAAGTAACAGCAGCAAGTATCAGCCCAAACTCTGATAGATTTGGTCATCGGAACTGTCGGGAAAGAACAAAGTCGTTACTACGAATATGCTTGCCGTTCCGATCTAACTCTACTCGTTTGGAGTACTTAGTGAAGGACACTTAGTCGTATCTTCGTTGAACAAGTTAGCATCATCAGGAGAAGAAGGAGATTACACCCAAAAGTATCAAGGAGTAACGCGTTGTGGAGTTAACGTTCGAAGGCGGGGGCAATGAGGGAGCGAAGTATTCTACAATGAAATTTCAAAATACATTATTTTGCGTACGTTGCGACCGTTTTGCGTGAGTTTCGATCGTTTTGTGTGCGTTTCGACCGTTTTGTGTGCGTTTCGACCGTTTTGCGTGCGTTTCAACCATTTTGCATGCGTTTCAACCATTTTGTGTGCGTTTACTCGTTAGCATTTCGTCGTCATTGTCATTTTTTTTTCGTTGTCGTTTTCGTTTCGTTTTCCATTTTTGTTAAGGGTATATTATCGATGAGGTTAGGTAAAAAAGAAGATATAATTTTGAATAGAAATTTATTATACATTTTTATTTTGGCAACATATCATAAAGCCATTTGTATAAAATATCTACGTTTCGGAGACTGCAATTGTAGTTGGTTCGGTTGCGAATGTGATGCAATAACACCGTTGTTGCGAAAAGACTTGACATAATTATAGTAGATACCCCACTCTACCTTTTGTATGGACTCATCGTTTTGCGGTTTTCGGAAAATGTTGAACACTTGATTGGAAAACATGATAGCCAAGAGATTCCAGAAACAATTTATTTTCCGTTGTCAATAGTTGTCGACTAGTGAAGGTCTTGGTGAAGACTGACTTGGGGTATGGAGGTGAATTTTTTTATAGATAGTCAGCACCATACTTTCCCTTCAATTCCAAACGAATTATTTCTTCGTTTCGGAAATCAATGAGCCTAGGAATGTTGGTCGAGCACTCGCAGCGTAATATTGACAGCTGATTATTGGAAAAACAGATTTTAAACAGACAGATTTCATCTCTGTTTGCAATAGGTAGGTAAATGGGATGATTAGGTATTCCTTCAATTGCGTACCCAAGATCAACACCAATAGCAAATTTGTATATCGTATGAGTCGGTGTGTCGTTGTAGAAGGCTCCAAACGTAATGTTGATATCTATGTGTATGATGCAT